GCTACGGCAGCTGCAAGTTCCGAGTCACGTGGTACCAATACCACTAGGCGTTCGAGAAACAAAAGAATTCAGTAGATACAAGGCGGTCTACTGGGGCAATTATAAGATGTTTGAGTGTGGTGGTAGAGCTTCTCATGAGTGTTTTGCCCTCGAAGTATCGATGTCCTTCTTGAACGACACGAGTCAGAATGGTCTCCTTATGGTCACGGTGAGTGAGAAGTGTTACGGCGTTCGTTAAGGGTGTTGATTTATTCCGGTGCGTCGCGAAGCTACGCGTAGAAGCAAAGTGCTGCTAAAAATGTTTGAGTGCTTTTGGATATAGTAGATAGAAGAATGGCTTTATCTCAGTGAAGTTGGCTACTGGTGCGGTGGTCACCGCCTAAGAAATAAAGCTGATCTTCAAGTGAAGTTTGAGGACTTCAACACGGAGGAAGTGTTCACATTCCTCGAAATGGACAAGCGCTATGATCTGATTTTAGGTATGCCGTGGCTTGAGGAGTACGAGCCATGAATTGATTGAAGATCAAAAACGATTGGAAGTGGCTCTCCTGGTGTAGGTCAGATTCTTGGGAGTAATGAACGCTCTTTAACCATGCACCAGATGAAGCGATCAGGCACCCGGCAGTCGTATGCTGCTGGAAAAGATCAACACTCCATTGGCATATGTCATGCGATTGAAATATCCCCGGTTAGGAAAATACGATTCGCATGGGGTGTCAACTTAGGAAGTGTGTCGGTAAGAGTGGCGCCCAAAGGTGGCCCCTTATAAACGTGTTAATTGTTGGTTGGCATGGCGATTTGGTCAGCGAAAAGAATATATGAGATTCCGATTGTTGCCCCCCGTTAGGCAAAAGAATGATTTCGACATGTGCGTACAGAAACATCGAAGGAATCCTTTGCGGCTGGATATACCAACACTCCAACTAATACAGTGGTTGAGTCGGATTGTGGGTCAGTGACCACAAGGGAGATGCTCCCACCCATTGTGTGATTGAGCACAGAGATTTGAAAGAAACAACGGAGTTTGGTGATCGCGGTGGTGAGATTTCCGCTCTGGATGCGGTTAGATCCGCGGGTCAGTCAGTCCGGCGGACTAACCCCCCCCAAAATGAAGATATAGCATGCAAATATACTGGTCCGTGTATTTTCGATGAATTGACTGGTTGTGAAGTTACCAGAGCAGATCGTCTTTTGGCACTGTTGCCGACAATGGAAGAGCTGGTGCAGCTCGAGGATGTCCCCTACAACGACTTCCTACACACCTCTAGTGTGTTGACATCGCTGTCATTGTATTAACAAATCAAGAATAAGGACTAGCTGGATTCTTCAAAAAAGTCGATTCTCTGCGTGACTAACACGCTGTCGAAATTGCTTGAGAGCCGAATCATCCATAACAGATGATAAGCTCAGTTCCGCTGAGTCGATCTTTGACTTTAGTAACACGACCCTGACATCCTAAGTGGAAATCCGCCCTCTTGTCTCCCACCCAAACTTGGAGTTTGGCACGAAATTGATCGTAAATTTGGTTTAGAGCATGCAGTGATGTGACAGTGGTCACTGTAGAATGATCAAAGTAAATATATCGATGAGTTCTTTGCTGAAAAGCGAGCTGCTGGGAGAGCAAATCCCCTTACAGCACAACGACGTTTTGTGTGCGTAAAAACTAAATGGTAAATGGCGTATTGTTCAAGCATAAACGCTGAAGTAAGGCTGATGTTATCCACCGTATGTCCGGCTGTACACAGTTTAGTCTTCGATGGATATTGTCTGACGGCCGTTAGTACACCGTCCGATATGTTATGGTAGTGGATTGTGATGCCACAAGGACTATCCAATACCCCAGCAACGTTCAATTAATTAGTCTCACAACTATTACAGATGATACGAAGCCCTATAGCGTGGTGTGTGACACTCATGAGCCTGCAGTTGGTTTGTGCATTATTTATTGCAAAAGGACTCAGAAGGACACTGTCGTGTCGTTTCAATCGCGGCAACAAAAAAAAGCTATTTCGTCGACGACAAGGTTTTTTGGAAATGAAATATGTTCTTGTGAAGTTTTGTGTTCACCTCTAGGATTTAACTCCATTTGTCGTCTATTTGGAACATGTAAGCTTGCAATATGCATTTTAGCCGCCTCACTGGTCACAGCAAATGGCTCGCTGGTTGTCATTCTACGCAGAATACAACTTTACGGTCGCGCGCAGGCCAGAAAAACTGAATGTGTTGACGGACGCATTGTCACGTCGTTCTGATAATGATCCAGCTCATATCAGCTGTGTCGAAAGCAATGTATTTGATATGAAACGTCGAGTGTATCTTGAGGATGACAGTGTGATCTGATCATCAGAGCACTGTCATTGAATGATACGGAATTCCATGACAGGCTTTCTGGTCGCTTGAAATCAAGATTGCATCGTTAGCACGGAAGGATGGTCATCTTTACTATGAAGTCGCACATGACGACGAGCCACGGATTGTGGTTCTCTCACAACGATAATTTGAAGTACAAGATCGTGTACTAGCGTAGTAGGTACAGGATTTGCTGATGGCCGGTCACTTTGGCCGTGAGAGGGCCTTCCAGTCTATCAGTGCCCAATTTGGTGGCCCACATGTTCAAATGGGTGGCACGATATGTTAAGACATACGATGTTCGTCAGTGCGTGAAAAATGCACGGCACATGCAAGTGCCACTGCAGAGTCGTTCTGCTCCTTCTGACTGTTTGATATCAGTCGGTCTCGACTTCATTTCGGCTTCCTCGAGGGTGTTCGTCTTTGTTGACAGACTTAGCAAAATGGTTTGCATCGCTCTGTGAGCCGATCTATCGATGCCAGGTTCGGCTAAATTGTTTTTTACCATGTTTATCGAAATCACAGATTGCCGGATGTCATCGTCCTAACAATACACGATTCACTAGTGGATTCTGAAAAGAATCGGTCCGAATTCCTGGCATCCGCTTGGATATGTCCAAAGCGGTATACCCAGTGACCGATGGGCAAACAAGGCGAGTGATCAGTGACGTGTCGAGAAGCTTATGTTTGAATATTTTGCAGAATGGAGTACATTATTACTATTGGATAAGTTTGCTATGAACAATTCAGTTCGTTCATACTCCGGATTGACGCCATATCTATAAATGGCTTGCGACACCGCAAGTATCGCTTGTGCGATTAGTAGTACCTCTGATGTAAGTGGGGGGCGTCCTAACTCAGCAGTGCAAAGGATTCTTCTGTATCTCATGAAAATTTGACAAAACAAACCGAAGTTGTGAGCCCCACTTCATTCAAGTTCGCTCCCTTTGGATATAAGACCGATTAATTTAGACTCCCACGCGGTACAGTAGAGTCCAGTTGCCTCCAAGTCAATCTCGCTGCGCCTACAAGGACTTAACATTCGCTGGCAAGAGTTATTGGAGAACAGACCTAAGTCATACCTGTTACCTGAGAGTGCCAAAGCACACAAGACATATTTGTTCAATACCGCAACTCCTTAAGGACCTCTGAGCTGCTCGGTAAGAAAGAAGTTTCTCTTTCCGTCATCGATTGGATCCATCGCTCCTGGCACTCTCGTAGGACTTCCAACCATCGTATCTAACAGACCTTTGAGGCATCGAAGTTGCACTACGCATTGAGTGCGACAACGACTGCCTCTTCGAAAGCGATAAGTTAGGCGCAAAAGTTTCACCTCCCTATGAAGATGGTAACATTTCAAGCCTTTCAGAAAGAGAGAGGTTTGTCGTCACCGCAAGATGACACTACGAGATTCAAGGGCGGAGACATATATGTTTTGCCTCTTTGGTGGACGAGCAAATATCATGAGCGCACACGGTAGGCTTGTTTCGGTGATTCAAACGAGCGAGACATCTGTCGTTTTAGCGCTTCTCATACCTTAAGTTTTTTCTACATAAAATCTCCACGTTCGCGCCTAATATTGTGCGCATATAACTCTGCTGAGGAGCGCTCACCCCAACGATATGATTTAGACTCGCTGGCTGAGTTAACAACGAATTTATCTTGCATCTAACACAGAGAACGCTTTTGATTACTAGATTTGGCGTAAACTAAATGAATTTTCTGAGAGAAACAAATCCTCTCAAGTTCTAATGAGTTATTGTATTTCCTTTACTTTGTCGAATATTGGTTATGACTGCTCCGAGTCGCAAGCTGTTCCAAATCAAATTGGGTACCGCCTTACCTGAGCGGTATTGACAAGGGGGTATCCTCGCATGACCAGCACCTTCAGCATTTGCATTTGTCGGGCGCACGCCTTCTCAGCATTTGCATTTGGCGTACTTGACTGTAAAGAGTTCGATCACTAGTTGGATCCCAAATTTTGCTATTAGCAGCCTCAGTCGCTTTTGAACTGAATCACCGATTTTGGAGGCAAAAATTTTCGGTTACAAGAGTCAGTCCAGACGTTTGTCAGCTTATTCGAGCGTGATTCCGCTGCGAAATATACAATCCATAGTGAACGCGAGATATTTTGCATTCGTTTTAAATTTTGAATGATTTAGTGAATCTCTGCAGCTGGGGTACGATGCCGTCGTATGGGTTACAAATATGACCGCTCCCCACATAACAATAGCTGTCTATAGAGTGGTTGCGCTGGATTTTTATCGTAAACGCATTCTTGCTTGAAATCTGAAATATTGCTGTTGCACGTCTTGCAAGCACATTTATTACTAGCTGAAATATATATCAATTCTGATACGAGACTTTTAATCCTGCATAAGCAATTCGACCCAGCTAGCCAGAAACCTTTTTATGGGGATGTTGGAGAAATCTGATACACAGATTTAAACGAAGGCGTGGAGCCTGAATCAGCATGAATCGCATTGTGTGACGCGAACGCAGTGAATTAAAATTTGTCGCTTTTGCACCACGGTCGCACCGCGCAAGCAATTTAATATTATCCTCAACACAGTAAATAATGCGTTCCGATTGACCATAGATCTGTTGGTAATACGCCGCGGACAGATCACCACGCACCTTGAACACAAAATCTATTCATTATCGAGTTTATTAAGGTTGTGTAGCCGCTCAATTATATCAAATACGGTTGGTCGCGTAGTAGCGTCTTGGTTCAAAATCCACCTGCACCAAACACAACAAACAATAAAGTCGTCCAGCGCCTGCACATCTCACCTTAAAGTGCAAAAGACGCACCGTATCATTTCGCAAAATTTTGATGAGTACGAACAGTTCTTTGGGAATTTAATCGGACCGATGACTGCTAGGTATGTGCACTCCACGACGCGCACGACACCCGAATCGTAGAAAGAGCATTCAAATGGCGAAAATCCGAATGCCATTGCGTAAAGCAAGCAGCCTAGTGACCACACGTCGGTGGCGCTGGTAATGTGCGAATTGGCTGGTACCTCGTAAAGTTCTGGAGCCGGAAAACGTTTGAGCCAAGCAGATTTGTGTAATATGTGTAAGCTTTGCTTCATACCTGGCGCCCGATAAGCCATAGAGCTATATTGTGCAGCGTACTCTTGTAGCAAAAGAGCGTCAGAGCGCCCAGATACAATAACATCAGCCGTTGTGACCGAGCCAAAGTCCGTTAAGAGTGGCTCTCCTTCGTCGGACAGCATGATATTTTCCGGCTGAGACAAACAATGACGCAAGCACTGATTAAACTCACACAAACGACTGTAGCGTTGGTGGTACCTTTATATCGCGATGTGCAAGTGGCGGTACATTTGAGTGTAGTTCTGCTACAGCTCGACAGATCTGGAGAAACATGTCCAGAATATGAGCTTCAGGGATTCGCACGTCTTGTCTGTCATAAAATGTTGCGACTTGTCATAACGAAGTGGTAAACCCAATGCTTTGTACAGCAAATACCTTATTGCAGTATTTATCATATCGCGTAACGTTCCACTCTATCATCGATGGTAAAAGTTCAGGTCAATACAAACTTAATGCTTTCGCATACATCAGCAAGATCGCAAACACCTCCATATATGGGAACAGCAAATAATACTCATACGCTTCTTCTTCAGTGGATAAAACAGCGTAATCAGCCAGCGGCATGATGTTCGGGTGCGCGAAAGCCTTATGCGCTCGGATCTCCGCCTTCGCCAGCTGCACTTGTTCTTCTGCCTGGCATATTATTTTTTTCAACGCAAAAGCCTCGCCCGTATCAGTATCTCTAGCCTTATATACAATTGAAAATCCTCCTTGTGCAATCTCAGAGCTGATAATCACCCTAGAGAGTTCAATAAATGAATTTTTCAAGCGATGTGACAAGAGGGGTAAACAATACTCATGTACATTCGGCCACTCTGCATACGCACGGAATTTGAGTATCCTAAACATGATAGAAGTCGCCGGGATGCATAAAGAGGAAAGAATGTCACGGCTGAGCAGATACGACCTGATGTGGCTCCAGATGATTGCCGCGCTAAGAACCCTTCAGTTTCGGTCATTGTTGATAACGAGAAGTCCGAGTTAAGTTCGAATAGATCGCGTTATTAATAATACATTCTTTAAAGATTAATGACAGATGCATATCCTTGTATCGGGCGGCGCTTGTTTGCAACGGCTACGTCAGCGATAGTGCAAAACACTAGCTTTTTAAAGAAAAGCCTCCTAGTTGATGGCAATAATGTAATCTATCATTTCTACAATCAGATGTCCAACATTGAAACGTGCGTAACTTACTTTCGTAATTCGTGTGATACATTTCTCTAACTCTTTTGTCAATAATTAGATGCAAAATGGCAAAGGCAAAAATGAAACGGTCGATGGCTCTTGCGGCGAATGGACAAGGCGCATTGTCCTGAGCACATACTATTTGTCTTTCATTCGAAACAGCAGTCTATCAGGAGCATCATCCAGCCGGACTACAAGAGGCAACGACCAACGACGCCTCATTCGTTAGAAAGAAGCCTTAATGGCAGCCGGCGTCAACTGTATTGAGCGCCAGGGTGTGGAGGCGGATGACATCATCGCCTCCTACTCGACGCAATACACGGCTTATGGCTTCGACGTACTCCTCATTTCAAACGACAACGACTTTTTGCAACTCGTGCATGATGGCATCAACGAAGTGGCAAAATTAAAAACAACAGAAGACGCTTAAGTGGACAATGATATATTGCCTGCTCCCAAGATATTTTGCCTGCTACCATTGTCGAGATCTATCAACGGTAGTGCACTTACTCGCACAGTATGCCCATGCTGCGCCATCTAGACACAGTCAATGACCTAATTTTACAAAATTCGAGTGCATTTCTTCTATCAAGTTCTCCTGGATGATCAAACTCGTCAATACAGTCGCGCTACCTGTTGCAATTGAAGAGCTTGATCAGTTTTAGATAAATGAGCTACAACTTAACATTAAGCTAGCAACATGTATCGACAAAACATTGTGGAAAATCAGACTCAAACAAAAAGGCCTACTTTCCCCAGGTGTGAAAAATGTTTGCCTAGCCTAAACGCATCTTTGGCAGGTGGGCTTACGTGATTAACTGCAATTGTTGTTACCGATCTAAAATTTGCCCTTAGACTCCGAGCATCTACTCACCAGAACATCTGCTCGCGTTTCTTTTATTCTCATATTAATGAGATCAAGACGCTGCTTGGCACAGCGGTCTGAGAACCATATCTTGATTTCTTGATTCGTGCCGCTAAGTTTGTCTACAGAGGGTTATCCGTATGATCATCTCGACTTAAAACCTTATGCAGTTCTTCCAGTCGAGTCGCGGATTCTTTTTATACTCTTCAATTATTGTAGCAAGCTGCTTCACGATAAAAAATCACCCCGCTTGAGTACTTCTCGTAAAACCTTCGTCGTTTTCTCAGAGCGTAGGTCTGTTGGCTCTATTGTCATCGGGTCATTATTTACAGACCGAGCGTTCAAATTTTCTTGTTTGTATCGCTTGATGCGGCTTTTCAAGTGCTTTACGCTTTGCCCCAGTCCCTTTCAAAATTTGGTTTTGGCTTTCGGCTTCGACTTCGAGCGTGACTTAGACACTTTGTCAGATTTGCATACTGGCTGGTATGGCGATGTGCTCGCCGGAAAAAAATTATGAGGAATATATGCCGGTTGTTGCCCACCTCAAGATAGAAGAATGTTGTGGACTTGTGTGTAAAAAGTCGAAGGAATCGATTGTGGTTGGATGTGCCAATACTCCCGCTAATACAGTGGTTGAGTCGGATTGTGGGTCAGTGAATACAACTGACCACAAAGGTGATGCTCCCACCCGTTGTGTGGTTGAGCCCACACATGTGACGGAATTGGCGGAACTTGTTGATCGCTGTGTTGGTACTCCCTCCCTGGATGCGGGTGAGTCCGCGGGTGATTCAGTCCAGCGCACTACTCCCCATTATGGATTATAGCATGCGAGTGTGCTGGACTACGTATTGTGGATGCAACGAAGTTACCAGTACAGATTATTTGCCACCTTTGCCGACGATGGAAGAGCTGGTGGGTGCATCGTGAGGAAGTCACTTACGATGACTTCCTACTCGAACATAAGTGTTGTGACATCGCGGTCCTTGTATTCCAGAACAAGTCAAGAATTGGGTCTTTCAAAAGTCGGTCCTCTGCGTAACTACACGCTGTCGAAATTGCTTGAGAGCCGAATCATCCATAACCGATGATGAGCATAGTCCCGCTCAGTCGACCTTTGACTGTAGGAGCACGACCCTGACAATCTTAGTGTGAACCCGTCCTCTGGTCTTCCACCCAAACGTGGCGTTCGACACGATTGTGATTGTGAAATTGGTTCAAAGCATGCAGTTCTTTGACAGTGGCAACTGTAGCGTGAGCAAATTGAATATATCGATAAGTTCTTTGCTCAAAAGCAAGCTGCTGGGTTGTTGAGGGATAGCAAGTCCCCTCACAGCGCGCCTACATTTTGTGTGCGTAAACCAAATGGTAAATGGCGTATTGTTAACGCTTATGACAAGTTGAATATGAAGACGATATTAGTCGAATCTTGATGAGGGAGAAGGTCGTCCCTTTGACGGCTGTAAGTTCACCTTCCGGTACGTCATGGGAGTGGTCTGTGATGCTACAATGACTACCCGGTACCCCAGCAACGTTTAATCGATTGGTGTCACATTTGGTTCGACCAATGCGACGCTTCGCACAGACCAATGTTGATAATATTTTTGCTCATTCGAATGATGATGATGGTGGATCAGCCAAACATATTCACTTGGAGCACATCTGTTCGGTGCTAAAATGTATGCGTGAGGATTCATCGCAAGCAAATCTTGCAACGTTTTTTTTTGTTGCTAACGAAGTTCCGGTCCTCGGTTGTTATGTTGGTGAGCACGGTGTTCTTGTAGACCCTGAGTGGGTCAAAACAATCGTGAAGTAGCCAGACGCATCCATGTGACGCGGCAGCAACAGTTGACGCACT